TGATCTATTGAGGTCCCTTCCGACCCTAGCATCTATGAATCTATGAATCTATTCCCAGAAGTTCCTATCTATACCCAGGGATGCTCAACTCCCAGCCCGCAAGTCAAATCCAGCCCCCAGCACCAGGTTATCCAGCCCAGGGGTCTCCCCACATAACTGTGGGGAGTCTTGCAGACTGTGGGCCTATGAACTAGATTGGGTGTGCAGGGCCTGATCCTGGTGTGTTGGGCCAGGCAAGAGTGACACATGGCCACGTGGGGCTGGACAGGGGTGGTACGGGGTCCCCATCTGGGCATGAGGGATGATACAGGACGATGATCCGGGGGCACAGGGTCTGATCCAACCCACAGATGGCCCCATTCTTTTCATGCGGCCCATGGAACCAAAATGGTATGGTACTTAAATCTAAAGTCTGTAGTGCTGTCCTATACTGTGTTTTTACCCTGTTCAAGTCATAGCTCACGATTTACAGCATTCTTAAGTCACTAAAATACTAATACCTTGCTTTACTGGTATTTAGAGACACCAATATTGATTATACACACTTGATATTTAGAGATACCACTATTGATTATATCCACTTGATAAGGCATTTAGGTCTCAATTCTGCCCCCATTTACTTTGATGACAAAACTCTCATTGATGGAGGACTGGTCCCTTGAACAGGAGGCCTCACAGAGCTCATTTCGGAACTACAAATACTTACCTTTTCATGTTTTTGTTAGTAACAGCACACTCCTTTCCTTCTTATAGGTACATTATATTTGGTTTCCAAGTACAACATGTGTTACAAGAGAACCTTGATGCATCACTTGTGCATTAAAACTGACTCTCTAGGCTCTTTACTACCAGGTGGATTTGTACATTTGCTGCATTTTAAATTTCACAGTTAATGGAGGATTAAGTAATATGCATCTTAGCTCCATTTTACAAGCAAATAAAACTGTCCTCTTGGTTCCTGACCTAAAAATTTAAGCAAGAGATTTATGCATATCTCTTGATTGCTTTCATTATAGTTATGCAATGCTTTTTCAAATTAGTTTTGGTGGGTTAGGATATAAATAGCTGCACTGCTAATGGCACCCAGGGATTTATGGCCAATATCCAGATTGTCCACTGACTGACTTCATTTTCCCTTTGATCAAACTTGCTCCACTCTTTGTAAGTGTAGAAACAGGTAATGGAAAACTCAGGGTTTGCTGCAAGTTCTTCTTAAAGGCCAATTAATTTTTTAAAGAAGAATGAATAAGAACCCACAGTGGAGCTAAACCCAGAGCAGCTGGCAGTCATTAAGGCAATTTTCCAGTGGATAGAACATGTTTACTAAGAGGATGAAAATAAAAAGTTTACTGGAATAAGTGTAACCATTATCAGAGCATCTTGATTGAGAAGTTTTAGTTTTCCTCACCTCACAATATAAACCACATAGATTAAAGTGAGAGGGGACAGCTGCCTTCTGTTTTATTCTAGCAAATGGTGAAAACTTTAACATAACCCCACTGCTATGCACCTGAGCTATCAGTGCAAAGAGCTGATATACATGATTGCTGCCATATCTGAAATTAAATATTCAGTTCTACACATAGAAATGATATCCCTAAAAGAGAAATCAGTGTAGTGTAACCAATTAAGAATTGTCTAACTGATGTCCCCTCAAACAATACCTTGTTTTCAAGAACTTGTACTAACCTTAATTATTTCCAAGGACCTGTAAAAACCTAAGACCAACTGAAGGAGTAACTCTGTTCTGACTTTCCATCATGCACCTTTACTTCACTGTACTTTGTCTTGTGGGATACCATACAGAGAAATGAGTAACACCTACAACAGGGGCGGGCAATTATTTCAGCTGGAGGGCTGCTTAAGGAGTTTTGGTGTGTGGTCGAGAACCATAAGGATAGTCATCTCACCCTTTGACAGGTGCCCCACTCCCTGGCTGCCATCTTGCCACTGGAAGCCCCTTCTCTTACCCCCTGGAAGGCATCCTTTGGGGGAGTGCTATCTTAGAACCAGAAAAAAACAACTTGCATACTAAAACTCAAAAATCTTATCATAACGTATTTTAATTTTATTTAAAAAATATTTTGTCCTGATTTATGCACATTTGTATATAGAGGCAATGGCATAATAGCTCAAAATAAAGTTTTACTCTTCTATATTGTGTGCAGGGGGGGTAGGTGGGATATGGTTGGGGAGGCGGGGTATGTATGGGGGGAGGTATGGGGTTTGTGGGGGAAGGTTTGGGTGTGCATGTGTGGGGGTTTAGTGGGGTGTGCGTATGGTGGCCCCCCCCCATCCCATAGGTGACTGGTAGTGGGTCTGTAGTGGGGTACATGCCTCCCCTGGCAGGACTGTCCCCCATTGCTGATGCCACCGGCAGCTTCTGCAGGTGCTCGCCAGGCCCATCCCTGCCACCGGCTGCTTCTGCGGGTGCTTACCAGGCCTGTCCCCGTCACTGGCTTCTGCAGGTGGTCACCAGCCCATCCCCATTGCTGGCTTCTGAGGATGCCACCCCAAACTCAGGAGACACCAGTTGCCCATGCCATGGTGGACAGCCCATGGTGCCAGTGGCAGCAGCAGCAAACAGCAGGCCCTTGAGTTGCTCATGGCCCATGCAGGAGCCCCTTGGTGCTGCGCAACTCCGGCTGAGTCCTGAGTTGCACAGGGCAGCAGAGAGTAGAGCCAGGCTGGTGCGGCTCACATGGAGCTTCCAGGATTCAGCCAGAGCCACGTGCTGCTGCAGGGAGCCCAGCGCATTGGAGCTGGGGGCCTGGCTTTACTCCCTGCCACCAAGTGCAGCTCCCAGGTCTCAGCCAGGGTGGCAGACAGTGGGGCTGAGCTGGACCGTTCCCAAAGTGTGGAGCTCCCTGCCACCCTTTGGCCAAATCCTGGGAGCTGCACATGGCACCAGCGAATGGGGCCAAGCCACCAGCTTTACCACACGGGGCTCTCTCCAGTGGCACATGGCTCCAGCCAAACCCCAGAAGCTGCACATGAACCACAGGGAGCCCCATATGATGGAGCCAGGCAAGTCCAGGCCCCCCACACCTGCCAACCCAGGCTTTGTGCTCCCGCCAGCCATGGCCCTGGTGTGGGCTCTGCAATCCCACCCAGTTGCAGCTTCCCTCCCTACTGCTTCTCTACCTGCTGTCTGGAGTGCTGCAGCAGGGACAGGAGGAGGATCCACTGGATGCCGGGGGAGCTGAGCAGTTTCCTGGGTGGCTACAGCAGTGGGAGCAGCAGCCCTGCCTGGAAGCTGCGTGCACTGGCTGGGGCCCGGGCCTACCCACAGGTGAGGGTGGGAATGCAGGGCACTGCCCCAGTGGGAGTGGGCAGGGCTTGGCCCCATGCAGAGCACAGCAGGGGCAGCCACTGTCTGGGCCAGATGCAATTAATTGATGGGCACCTGCCCATGAGCCAGATGAAAATCGCCCGGTGGGCTGTATCTGGTCGTAATCTGCCCACCCGACCTACAGACTAGGGACAGAAATTACATATACACTGGTATAAGTGATTGGAAACCAGTCTAAACCCATAACAAACTAGAACTTCAGTACACATAGACAGATGGCAGATCCTAGTCTAAGACAGACCTGGACTGATGTATTATCACACTTAACTGATTTTGGCTAAACTGGTCTAAGAAACTTCATTACCAGATTCCAGCCCTCCACCCCATCTAGTTAGGTCAGTCCCCTGGCATTCCAGGATGCTTTGCAGATCCCTGCTGCCCTCTCTCGCAGAGTGGGTAGGCTAGCCTCTGCCCCCAATCCCTGCTTCAGTCTGTCACAACCCAAAGGGTGTGATTTTTGTTTTTGTGTGCGCTTCGGCACTGCTAAATTGTCCCCGCTAAATTGCAGCTTCCTTGCACGGTGGAGTTTTCTGCTGCAAAAGAGAACCCCGGTGCAAGGGAGAATTTCCCACCAATTTGAAGCTTTCTTTGCAGGGTGCATTTCTTTGTTGCAGCACAGAAATGCTCGTTGCAAAGA